GTGAAAGTAAGAGTTTTTTTAGGTAGTTCATTTTTTAATTAAAAATATAAATAAAATATGATGTGTATTAGTGTATTACTAATTTGCCATTAAATTTATGTCAAAGTAAGGGCTTTTTAGGCATTATGAATTTTGTTACAAAAACACTCCTCACTAATTTGCCATTAAAAACATGTGAAAGTAAGAGTTTTTTAGGTGGTTCAATTTTTAATTAAAAATATAAATAAAATATGATGTGTATTAGTGTATTACTAAATATTTTCGAGTCAACTTTTGTTCATAAAATTTTTAAAAATATATTATTTTCATTGATTTGCTTATGTTGAATTGAGAAAAGTTATGTTTTTTTATAATTATATATAGGGAGGATATAAGATATGATGACATTAGTATATTACCAATTTGCCATTAAAAACATGTGAAAGTAAGAGTTTTTTTAGGTAGTTCATTTTTTAATTAAAAATATAAATAAAATATGATGTGTATTAGTGTATTACTAATTTGCCATTAAATTTATGTCAAAGTAAGGACTTTTTAGGCATTATGAATTTTTACAAAAACACTCTTCATTTTAATGTAGTATAGATATAGATAACATGCTCATTTTAAAAATGTCTTGACACACATAATTAGGTGTGTCAGGGGCGCCCCTAAGTATTTACGCCCAAACCCAAATACCAATCTCTCTCAAATTTTGTAAACTTCAAATCAAAATAAATAAAATCAAATAAATAAATGAAATCACATCACATATACAGTATCCCAATCAAATCCTCAACCCCCCATTTTCTTGAAATAGTTAAATATCTTTTCTTTCTTTTTTTTTTTTCTATGGCCCTAAGCCATAGATTTCTTTAATGTACTAGCAGTGTTTGTTGTCATTTTTGTCATAAAATATTGATGTAAAAACCACACACAACACACACACACACACACACACACACACACAAACACAGAGACATTGAAAAGAAGTAATTAATAGAGGCACTATTTGGTTTCATAGTAGCCAAAATAGCTATATATAGACTGTAGAGTTACTAGTTAGCCTATTAATACAGAAAACTCCTACATAGTTTGATGACACAAGAGTACCACATTTACTTACATATCAAGAATCTAATTTAGATTCTCTTCTTATACATACACATACACACCAGATAATACTAATAATAATACTAATAATAATAATAATAATAATAATAATAATAATAATAATAATAATAATAATAATAATAATAACTTCCTAACATTATAAAGAAAAAAGATCATAAGATACTCAAAAGATTTCAATTGCCAAGAAAATCTCCATTGACCTTTGACCGGCCGATTTTTCTACCACCACTTCAAACCACCGGGCTCGGTCAGCATCACATGATGATGATCGTCGACAAAACCTGCACTCCCCACAGCAGCATCACAGCCCGGCCCGAATAGAAACGGGATGTGGACCCCACTGTCGATGTCGGCCTCTTTCTTGCACTGTTTGGAAATGGCATTGCTCAGCTCCTTAAAGGTGAAGTCTTGGGTCGAGAGTGAAGGCTTGGAAAGGATTACGTTATTAAACGGGACGGCGGGCCGTGCGAGATTATTTGGTCCGAAAGGGTCGCACTGCGAGACGAGCGGGTTGATTAGAGTTTTCAAGTCAGAATACTGATTTTCTTGGGAGTTAAATAGGAAAGGGTTTTGGTTTAGGGTTTGAAGTATTGGTGGGTTGTTGTAGTCTTGAATTTGAGCTTGGGTTGGTGGTGGCTCAAGCAATGGGGGCAGTGAGTTTGAGCTTGTGTTGTTGGTTATAAAGTAGTTTAGGCCTTGAAAAATTGTTGGACTTTTCTTGTCACCTATCTTGTGGAAAATTCTGCATATCACCCACTCTTCCTGTTGTTTTTTTTTTTTTTTTTTTACATAAAATAAAACAAAATTAGTACCACAAACAAGTTTTAATAACAAGATTTTCAACATATAATTAGTAATAATAATAACTAATGTCTCTATCATTTTACAAATACCTTCACTTTGTATCTCAAGTCATTTAAAGATAATAATATATATGAAGACAGCATAGTTCTAAAGGCATAAATGCTTAAGGTAAAATCAATGTGAATCAGCCTGCTGCAATGAGTTCTTTTTTTTTTTTTTTTTGCAATAAAAACCATGCAATATGCATTAATTCCACTTTTTCCCAAATTACATTAAAATTTTATCTATTTATTACATTCACTAGTCATGCATGAAAATTGTCTAATCTTGCAGACAAACCAAAAATTGAACTACAACAGTTGCCATTCTTCCATCAATATCATGACAAAATTACTCAAGTCAACCCAAATGAAATGACAAATCATTTGTGCATAGTTTTTTGGATATATAGAGAAAATCATATCATCACAAACAATGAAATAAAATTGAGCATATATAATGTATTCAAATCATTTTCAAAAGGGAAGAAAACAATTTTATTTTATTTTTTTACTTAATTTCTCGCTTATTCGACTAAACAAGCTTTACCTTGCCCGTGTGGCGACACGAGAAGTCGCCTTCGAGTCGATACTCGTGCATGACCCATTTGGTCTTCTCCCCGCGCGGGGCCCGCCCTTTGTAGAAAACAAGGGTTTTCTTCATCCCGAGAAGCCCACCGCTCGACGCGCTAACGACTTCCCGGTCTTTCCCGGTCGCCTTCCAATAACCGGCACCCGTGGCCCGATTCGTTCGAAGCCCGGTCGGGTACTTCCTGTCCCGTAGGCTGAAGAAATACCACTCCCTCTCCCCCATTTTTGCAGACTCTACAAATAACAAAAAAAATATTGCAAGAGAAATTAAGATTGATCATAAATAACACAAGTTAGTTCAATCTTGAGTATTGATTATGTGAACTCCATGTTATAGGATAAGTTAAATGATTGCAATGTACATACATAGATTCTATTCTGAAAAAAACTAAAGGGATGCATTAATTATTAACTGAGAGAGATATATATTATTGCAGAAAAATGTGAAACAGTTGAAACAAATCTGTTGCAATTTAGTTGCTGGGTACAAAATATAAAACAAGAATGATAAAGACACTTGAAACTTTTTTGCAGGCCACTAGTGAATAATAATAATTATTGCCATTATTATTATTATTATTATTATTATTATTATTATTATTATTATTATTATTATTATTATTATTATTATTATTACTATTATTATTATTATTATTATTATTATTATGCAGCAGAATTAATGTTGATTTTTTTTTTCTATGATTTTAATTGATATTCATACAAAAGTCTGATTTTTTTTTTTTTTAAAAAAATAATAATGCATGCCCACCTCATTTTTATTAGAAACTAATAATATCCAAATATATAAACTTAATTTCACCAGAAAATTGTCACATAAAAAATAAAAAAAAAAAAAGAAATTAGAAAGCACAAGTATATTAAAAAAAAATAAAAATAATTATACCAGGAAGTTCCCAAGGTTCACATCTGTTGAGGTCCACCTCAGCAATGTCCACACCAGAGAAGGAGCCATTGAAGACCTTAGAGGCCAAGTAAAAAGTGATGAGCTCTTCATCAGTTGGGTGAAACCTAAAGCCAGGTGGCAGCCCTTGCTCATTCAATTCCTCTCTCTCAAGCTCACACAATATTTCATCCATTCCCAACATTATTGATTGATTTCTCTCTCTCTCTCTAAACACACACACACACACACACACACACACCTAAATCAAGATTCTTGATAGAAGAAGAAAAAAAAAAATTGAAAAATAGTGCAATTAATTCAGTTATGAGTTACATGAGGGGGTGTTTTGGTTTGATGGGTTTGTACTTATTTATACAAATAATAATGGGGTGAAATTAAAAATTAAAAATTAAATTAAATTAAATGGGGGGTTTTGGAATTTGAAGCACTGAAAACGAAGAAAAAATTGAATTAGATTTTATTTTATTTTTTATAAATTATTTGGTAGGGAGGTGTGGGGGGTAATAAAGGCTAATCTTGCAGGGGGCCTGTGAAAGCCACCTGAGAAGGGTTCCAAAAGAGGCAAAAAAATATTCAAGAAATGAAAAAAA